CAGTACAGTACAAGTACATGGGTCTCTGTGTTTCATTCAAGCTCGGCTCTCTGTGTGTGGCACGAGCGCATTTTGTGAGTGCGCAAGTGGTAACGTGGAATGTTGTTGTTAGCATCTGGTTAGCTAGCTATGCTAACGGATATAAAGAGCTGTTTCTACACCAAGGTGGAGGAGAGTCCTCTCCTGTCAGACTGAGAGGATCTTACAACGTCAGCTCAGTGAGGTAAGGACTCTCTCAGTGTTTAGATAGTTCACTTTAGTGTAAGTTATCTCAGTGGGTCTCAAACGGTTTGGTCACCATTTATGTAAACAAGTATTTGCGAGGAATACCTTGATATGATCATTATAGTTATTAAAGAATAAGAGAATAAATGAAAAACGGGTATGAAATACTATAGGACAGTAACACAAGAATACAGTTTAAAAGGGGAATGATTAGTAAAATATCCATAAAGAAAAAGTAGGGGAGACCAGCGACAGTTGTAACACGGGTCGGTTGTAACACCTTCAATATCTCCAATCACAAACAAGCTAGAGTGATGAAACTCACTCTGCACATGCGCAGTTAGATGGTAAGATCGCTGAGAAAAAAAGGAGCCATGTTTGAATTTCTCGTGTAAGATATCAGCAAAAGTGTGTTTCTGAGGTAAAATATGAACTACAATTATATGATGTATTTTTTGGATACTGTCTTGAGTTCAAATGTCTAGGAATCCAAACTAGTATTATTAGAATCACTGTTTTGTAAGCTACAAATATAACTAGCTAAATATGGGTCAAGCTAGCAACCAGGCAGGTTCACAGGGGGTGGAAGCAAGACTGGTGGTCCTGGGACGGTTGTAACATGGCACATTTACTTGAATGATCAATTGTTCATTCAAGCATACAGTTGTATGTTGGCTGGTGCATTGTCCCTGTACAAATAAACAGAATATAATACTGTACAGTAGGCCTAAAGTGTGTGTGTGTGTGTGTGTGTGTGTGTGTGTGTGTGTGTGTGTGTGTGTGTGTGTGTGTGTGTGTGTGTGTGTGTGTGTGTGTGTGTGTGTGTGTGTGTGTTTACAGTATGCCAAATGTCAGAAAGAGGAAGACAGACAGGGGAGTGCCTTTGCTCTGCTGCAGAGGGCCTCAAATGAAGTTGAGAAGGGCAAATCATTTAGGGAAGTGGCAAAGTCCCTGGATATATGCCATGTCACCCTGTACCGGTTCCATAAGAGGAGGCTGAGGTTGGAGAGTCAGGGATCACAAACACCCCCAAGAGTAGGCCACTGGACACCAAAGAAGGTGTTCTCAACAGAGCAGGAGATGCTTTTGAGAGACTACCTGATGGAGGCAGCTGATTTCTATTATGGTCTCAGCTCAAAGGAGGTAGGTCCACATCATTAAGGTAGAAGCACCTCTCAGAGAACAGTTTAATCCTTCACAGAGGATGATGCTGTGTGTTATCTGTTATCCTGTTCATTGCTCATTGTTTGATGGAGGATGTGTGAAACCCCATTCAAATCTTGTTGCCTTAGAATTTGACAGCTTTCCCTATTTGTTATCATGTAGTGTGAAAAAGGTAACCGTTATTAACATGTTACAACCGTGCCTGGCATGTTACAACTGTCCCTGTACACAAGGACAGTTGTAACAGTTGAGTTTTTAAAAAAAAATACATTTTACAACCTGTACTTATTTCATAAAAACATCTTAAATACATTGTTTCAGTAGCTGACATATTGATAATGTATAATATAGCAAAATGGCTATCCTATTGTAAATGTTTTTTTACTTATTGGGGAAAAACCCAAAAAGTGTTGCAACTGTCCCTGGTGTCCCCTACATCTGTGTACAGTTCTGTTTCATATGGATGCTGAGAGATGTAGGCTATCCATAGATGTCCTAATGTTGCTCTCAAAGTGCACCAGATTGATGCATTTAACTTCAATATTTAAAAAATAATCTTCCCGGGGGAGCTTGCCCCTAGAGGAGGTTAGGTCCACCCCCACCTAAAACATGTTCACATGGATAGGATACTAAATACATTTGCACACTTTTTTGTATGGTGGTGTTACGGTGTGCAGGAAGCAGGACCCATGCAGATTTAAGTGACAAAAATAATTCCTTTATTTCAAGGCTACAATATTCAGAGACAGAACAGAACACTCACCGCAGACCAAGTCATTACACAAGACGAACCGACACTGAACACAGGAAGAGACGAGACTAAATACAGGAAGGGGTAATCACAAGACGAGACACAGCCGGGCAGGGGAGGAGAAACACAAGGGCCACAGGTGAACACAATCAGACAACTAGACACACCAGGGAAACTAACGACGGGAGGAAGACACAGGAAGAAGGACCAGACAATATACAAGGATGAAAATACATAACCAGACATACAAAACTACAACACAGACAGATCCTAACAGGTGGCCTATGTCCATATGTTTCTGTTTTGGTGGTCATGCCACAACCGTGCATGTATGCACAAGTCATAGGTGCGCTATACAATAGCACTACACCCTGCAATGTGTGTGAAAAACAATAGACTTTACCGCATGTTTTTTGAAGTTGCGTTGGTATTTGTGTGTTGGTTGTTGACGGTAGTGTGTGGTAAATGATTGCCCCCCCATTCGATTTGTTCTAGCGACCCTGACAATACTGCTAGGATTATTGTAAGGTATCCAATCAGTCTTTGCTCAGCATTGATATTCGTCTCTACACATAAGCTTTGGGAGGTTTGGGTTAGGGCTGCACCATTTGGGGAAATAATCTAATTGCGATTTTTCTGACCGATATTGCGATTGAGATTCGATTTGCGATATTTGTTTTTAAGCGACCCAACAGAAGTTTATTGTAAAATGCTGCCATATCTCCGGCTAGGAAGGTCGTATCAACGTGCTCCCGTCTCTAGCACCCCCGCAGCCCGAGCTACGAGTGAAAGAACTAAACTTACATGAAACTTCCGTTGGGTTGCTTTAAAGTCAAGCTTCACTTTAAGATTCACCCTGTAATAGAAACATGTGATGGAGCATCACTAACCTGACCCAGATGCTTTGTTTCACCAAAGCATCTAAAGCTCCATTGGAAGCCATTTGGAAAGGGCAGGCACTTTCAGAAGCACTTGGCAGGTGATTGGATCAATCCGTCTATCACCTTCTATCATGGGCCACTTCTGATTGGCTAACAATGGCTGGTACATGTGGAGAACAGCACTTCTGATTGGTTAGATAACCGACACACAAGAAGAACAAAAACATTTTTTTTTAAAAAAGGTTTTAAAAAGAAAATGCAGGCTTTGCGATTTGATAATCGCATCATTTAATAATCGCATCATTTAAAATCGCGATTTAGATTTAAAATTGATTAATCGTTCAGCCCTAGTTTGGACCAAAGTAACTACGAGAGTTTTTGACTGTTATGCATCAGAGGGATTTATGGTCGTGCAAAAGCTGGTAATAGTGTACTAAGTAAGGTTGTACATGTCAGATGGATATGCTACATGTTTGACTTGATCATTGGAAACCAGTTTGTGCTTTGCCTATGGTTGTCACCCTAACGCATTTTGCTGCAATTCTACATCTTTTGAATATGTTCTTTTCATGTTATTGCCTACTCTTGATGTACCAGTCATTGCTGGATTATAACTCGTTGACGTCATCATGTAATTGAAGTTAATGAGTCGCTTATTGACCGGAGATGTTCTGTTTTTGGACCCTTGAATGTAGAGGAAACTTCTGTGTAGCTATGCAATGGGAGTCACCGACTCAGGAAGGAGACACGGGAAGAGCAGGAGCTTTGATGTCAAACACATGATGGTTTATTTGGAGTTAACGGCCGGAGGATTCACATCACAAGTCCAAGAGCCAGAGGTTCTGACGTCACGGTAGAGTTGCCACGTCAATTCTGAAGAACTCTACCCCAGACCCATGTATTTAGCTAGTTCAGAGAGCATCATCAACATGCTGCATAACAAGATAGAATGATAACACCTCTATCAGCTGACGCCAACAGGCAGGAACAGGGAGACAAAACACTGAGAGCACAGCAGCCAAGGTTACAGGTGCCTGTGCTCAGTCAGGACAGTTTGAACTGATACACTGGGTCAAAGTTATGGGCCTTGGAAAATATTTCCACAACATTGAATAGTGTGCAGGATCTGTCCACGTTACTTTGTGTATGGTGGCTTTGCTGATGCACCTGTTGTCAGAAGTGTTGAATGCACGTACACAATACAACAACAATAGTGCTGGGATTACTTTAAGGCATCCATTCTGTCTCTGCTACATATTCTTATTAAGACATACGCTTTTAGAGGTTTGGACCAAAGTATCTACTCGAGCTTTTGACTGTTATGCATCTACTCTTGGTTCTACCTTTCTGAGGGATTTATGGGACTGCCGAAGACGGACTAAGTAGATTTAGATTTGAAGCAATACTGCTAGGATTATAGTAAGGTATCCAATCAGTCTTTGCTAAGCGGTGATATTCATCCCTTTTGGAGGTTTGGATCAAAGTATCTACGAGAGTTTTGCTTCTGAGGGATTTATGGTACTGCAAAAGCTGGTAATAGTTTACAAAGTAAGGTTGTAAATGTCAGATGCATGATGGATATGCAACATGTTTGACTTGATCAATGGAAAGTAGTTTGTGTTTTGCCTCAAAGTAGAAATGAATAGTGGCCTTTTAGCTGCTGAACTGTAACCAAACCTTAATAACACTGTGTGCAGATATCGTATGAATAGTTTAACATATGGGTGTATTATTGTTAAAAATACTGTCGTTGGAAATCGTTTATTTAAGCTGACAGAAGACACCTGGTCTCACTTGTTCCCCATCCACTAGTTCTCTGACCATTCTGATTTACATGTTGGGATTCCGTTAGCTCGTTAGCATACAGGCTGCCTGCCATCTGCTGGATTAGCATGCTGGACGTGCTACTTATGTGGTTTATAAAAACAACAAGTTGCTTTCACACTTTAGCTCGCTAGAAGAGAGTAGAAAACTCAATGTTCAGATATCTTTACTTTATAGTTTATTACAGGAGTACATTTAACAATCACGGTAACAAAAAAAGGAAAGGAAGAAAGTAGACATTCATATTTAAACTAAATGAAACATTTTTCCTGTAAAAAGAAATACAAATATTATGTACAGAATGACATAAGACCAACAGGTGAGAGGAAGGGGACGTGTAGTCGCATGGCACTTAAAACATAGACATACCTCGCAAGTGCTTTCTGTTTTCCATAATTAATATCAAATAAAATGCAGTGATAATAAGTCTGAATAACAAAACAAAAAATAATTATTACAGTTATCAAATCAACAATATTAACATTTTAAACACTGTTTACAATATAACTGAAATACATAACATTCTAAATACATCCAATATTTACCTTCTCATTTAGGCTAAAAACTCTAGATCTGTAATAGAATAAAAAATAGCATTTCAAATATCTTATAACAACAATATTAATCGTACAATAACATTACTATTAGGTTATTAGTAGACGTAAATAGCTGATTTTCCACATGGCTTGCTAAAGGGAGGAATATTGTACAAATTAATATACACTATAATCTATTTATGCTCCTTGCTTTCACAAAACGCACACATTTAATCATTATTTGTAATGATTAAAAAAGCACTTGATACAAACTATTGCAATCTAGAACTCTCAAATAGAAAATATACACAAGAAAAGCAGCAAAAAAACTCTATTTTTTTATCGTGAAGAAATCAGTGGTGTGGTTGGTAGAAAGAGTGAACAATGTCTAGCACAGGCAGAATCCATCTGGAATGCTATTGGACAACAGGATCGTCCAATAAGAGCGTGACCCCTGAAACCTCATTGGTCCTTTCTTTCTCTCTCGAGCTTCCGTTCGGAACTTAGAACTCCATCCGGGGGGGTTCTAGAATGTCCGAGAGTTCCGCGAACGAGTCCCAGAGTTCGTGGCGGGTAGCTTTTTTTTTCCTTTTTGTTCTACGTATCGGAACCAAGAACAAAGTCTTCCTTCTCCAAAAATATGGAAGTCGCAAAGCTCTGAGAGTCCTGATTGTGCAATCACCTCAAACAATACATCTCTTCATAGCTAATAAAGTTGCTTAAACCATGGACTTTTAATTTGTTTTGCATTCTTAGCGTTGATTGGAGGAGCAGCAAGACAACATGTCACCTTCTCCACACAACTCAAAATGGCTGCACCAAGGAGACGAGAAAAAATAAAATAATCAGCACACAAACACAGAATGACAAAGCAACACTCAAGCAGCATGTATGTAGGTTTTTCTCCACTCCGTCTCTTCTTTCCTCCTCCAGTTACTCTCGGTTTCATGAGGGCGACTTCTTTATCGACTTGTTGCAAGATAAAGTCCGAAAGAGTACAATCTCAACGCAACATCAAAGTGTAGTTTGTGTATCAAAGCACAGGTTTGGAGAGTGGACAAAGCAGACTCATTGACTTTGATTCAGTTACTTTAAAGTGATACCAATTGTGAGTTCAACTTCAATGCTTCCTTGGTTTGCAGAAGTGCACCGGAAACCCCTGATATGTTTTTGTGGACGGAGAGTTGAAGCTTATTCCACTGTATGATACATGGATGGAAGCATTATAGGAACGTGTACAGATCATTAAGTGTACAGGCTGCTTTGTGGAATAAAAGCATAAAGGGAATACTAGAAAGAAATTGCCCTCGAATGTAATGTGTTTGACCCGTTCAAATATGCACCCAGTATATCCTCTCCATCAGAACTACATGCCTTATTTGTAAGCTATGTCCTTTAACATCTGCTGTTCGATTGGACTAACTCAGCAACACATTGTACCTGTGCTATGATCATTCATTTACTGCATCTGTAAGCTAGTAAACAATTTGAATTCAATGGGAACACAATGCCACCAATGATATATATATACTCTTGTTTAGATTAGCAGATTGCATGAGTTGAATCTTGGTGGTGCCATGGAGAACATGTCAAACTATCAGTCTATATATCCATCTCATTTACCCTGCTCTTAAACTGGTTCACTGCATTTAATGTAATCTTCTTCCGTCCTATACCCTGTGTCATCCAAATCACAACCATTTTCTCTTCTTTCAACACTTCATATTCCCAAAAGTACCACCATACTTTTCTTTCTCCCATTGTGCACTACCCACCTTTCTTTTTCAAATTATATTACATAGCTTTTTGTTTGTACATACATTTAGTTTGTATATTTCCTTAAAAAAATACACAGAATAGAGAATAATTAAGAAGTTTTTTGGCAGTTTCTCTCTCAGAGGAAAGTCCTGATCATCATCAGTTGTAACAAGAAAGAGACAAAGACTTTTCTCTTAGTCTGAAAAGGAACCTCCAACTTGGTGGTGGAGGAGAAAAAATAAGAACTTATTTCTTTCCTTCCTTCAATCTTCTCCTTTAAAGACTTCTGCGATCACTCTCCCCTCGACTCTTCAGCTCTCTGCCCTTCAAACAGTGGCTCCCAGCAGCTCTTCTGACTTGGCCATGATCTCGTTCTGGTTGGAGTCCAATCCGTAGAACTTGACTTTCAGCCCGTCGACAGGGTGGACCACCGGTACCGTGATCACCCGTGGAAACTCCCGGGTTGCGAGCTCGAATCTGCTGGTGCTGGCCAGCTCGATGGCGAGGATACGGAGAAAGAGGGTCGCCAGTTGTTTGCCAAGACAGGACCGAACACCGCCACCGAACGGCAGGTAGTGGAACCGTCCCTCTTTGTCTTCTCCTCGCTCCTGGCTGAAACGGTCAGGATCGAAGGCGTCCACATCCTTAAAGACGGCCGCGGTGTCGTGGGTGTCCCGAATGCTGTACATCACACTCCAGCCCTTTGGAATCTGGACTCCCTGAAGACACAAAAAGAAACGCAGATAATGAGCAGGGTTGTTGTTTTTCCCAAATCTTGAAGCGTCAAACTTGCAATAAATATCTATCGACGTGACTACACTTGGTCCTTGGTTAATATGTCCTTACATCTTTGTGTTTAGGGGTAGAACCTGAGTTGTCTCAGACTTTCAAATGTATTTTTTAGTCTTTGTATGAACTTCAGATTTAGTGGCTACAGTATTCAGTTGGGAAGACAAAAAGAAACGCGGAAATTGAGCAGGGTTGTTGTTTTTCCCAAATCTGGAAATGTCAAACTTGGAAGGTCAGAAACTTTGCAATTTGGCAAACAATCTGAATGCAGTTTTTCTACAAGCATTGGGGAATTTTCTGGGCACCATTTATCTTCTAGTACACCAGCAAATATATATGAATATCTATCGTCGTGTCTTTGTCCCTGCTAAAATCGTTGTGTTTAGGCGTAGTTTCCTCAGACTTCCAAAGGTCTTGTGTATTATTTGTATGAACTTCAGATTTAAATCATTAGGTGGCTACAGTATTCAGTTGGGAAGTATTCATATAATCTTCACTCCCTGAAGACACAAAGAAACACAGAAAAATGTGCAGGGTTGTTGTTTTTCCCAAATGTAGGAACGTCAAGCTTGGAAGGCCAGAAACTTTGGAATCTGGCAAACAATCTGATTTCAGTCTACGAGCATTGGCGAATGTCCTATTATACAAAGCACCATTTATCTTCTATCATACCAGCAAATATCAATCGTCGTGACTACACTTTGTCCTTGATAAATATGCCCTTAAATCTTTGTGTTTAGGGGTAGTTTCCTCAGACTTTCAAAGGTCTTCTTTATTTTCTGTATGAACTTCAGATTAAGTGGCTACATTTAAGAAGTATTAATAGACTACTCACGTCGAGTTCGAAGGTCTGCATGGCGGTCCGGTAGGCCCCTGAGACGGGGGTATAGAGTCTCAGCACCTCCTTGATGACACAGTCCAGGTACTTGAGGCTCACGATGGTGTCCAGCCCCAGCTCTCCGGGCACAAGGCAGCCATTGTGGAGAAGCCCCCGGACCCTCAGCTCCTCCCTCAGGCGCTCCAGGACGGTAGGGTGTTTGAGGAGCTGCATGATTAGTGAGGTGCTCGCACTGGCCGTGGTGGCAAAGGCGGCAAAGATCAGCTCGATAGTGGACTCCTGTGGGAAGATGGAGGAGAAAGAAGTCAGTGCACTGTTTTGAGAACATGTCTGCTTATGAGGCACAAGTTATCTTTGTCTAAGAGCTGTGAGCAGTTCAACCACAGTGATTCCCCTCTTTATAAATCATCTTGTAACCCTTTGTTTATGATCTTGGAACCACTGAAGCGTTCTTGATACAGCCTCTGAACACATATCGGTTCCTATAACTATTCACCACGCTTTTGGGTAAAGCCAGTCATATATATGGAAAGTAAAGTGTCATTTGGCATGAGCACACATGTTCACTGAAAACATAACTGCAAGAGAGCATTTGAGTTGATTTGTCTTTACTTTTTGGGCACTCAAACTGTATTCTGGCGTTGCTTCTGATGGGCACAGACAGTGGCCATATTTAGTATTTGTACGCTAAAGTTTGAGGGTGAATATCAGCCAAATGTCCAGCCATAGCCACGATTACTTTTTACGCAATATGTAACCGAACATTAACAGTTTTTCACACCCAGCATGTTGTCAGCGGCATTTTGATTTCTTTTGAAAGTATGAAATATTGTGAAGCAAACTCAACCTTGGACCTCACTTTACCTTTGGCACAAAACCATTACCCCACACCTCATGCCTGCCATTTGTTTCATAATGACCAATACATAATAAAAGTATGATGTTTTTAATTCCTAAAAAGTCCCAGTCCAATAACAACAGTTGGTGCACTATGAAGGTAGTGGAATAAATAACACCACCAAAATAACATCATTATGAACCCCTGATATGCCATCATCAGTGTCAAAACACATCTTCGCCTCCCCCTACTTGAGTGTGTTGTAAATGCGTGCGTCAGAAAACTGCAGGAGAGTGCTTCAGCATGGGCCTCTGCGACAGGGGCTCCCCAGTTCACTTTGTGTGTGTATTTATATACTGTATGTGTGTGTGTGAGTGTGTGCGTACAGGAGGCCTCTTTCAGACCCCTAGCAGGGGGAGTGTTGACTTATTTTTGGCCCTGGACTTAACCCAGAAACCACAGTGAGCGAAATAAAGGCAGCGAGAGTTGAGTTTCCACAGAATTCCTCAGAATTACTTTAATAGGTAAATAGAGGGTGTGCCTGTCTACGAATGTGTGTGTGTGTGTGTGTGATTCTGATTCTGTTACCGTCTGCCTACAGGCATCAACTTAGCATCCCTGCAGTCATATTTTACATATAGCTGTATATCATAAGTCACTTTAATTGCTTATGATGCCAAGATGATTTGTCGGAGAAAGTATGCTAATTGTGTGTGTGTGTGTGTGTGTGTGTGTGTGTGTGTGTGTGTGTGTGTGTGTGTGTGTGTGTGTGTGTGTGTGTGGCCTTGCATTACTATACTTGTGGGGACCTAAATATGTTTACACAGTCACGTGTGGGGACTCGCCTCCCTTATGGGGACAAAATGGAGGTCCCCATGAGGGTAATCATTAATTTTAGGGTGAAGTCTTGGTTAGGGTTAGGCATGTGTTGGTTATGGTTAAGGTTAGGATAAGTCTCCAGGAAATGCATGTAAGTCAATGTAATGTCCCCTGAAGTGATGTATACATGGTGTGTGTGTGCTTGTGTGTGTGTGTGTGTGTGTGTGTGTGTTTTCAGTCAGCCAAGACGGATTCCCTTTGGCAGCACTTTGCTAGGTAAACAGTGAGTGTGGTCTATGTGTGTGTTTGTTTGAACACACAGCATTAGAGCATGGATCTGCGCTGTACGTGTTAACGCTGTGTGATGGAGTGGCTTCTTGTGCGTCTGGCTTCTCTCCAGCACATGTTTCCCCCCCCCCCCCCCATCCCCCCCCCCCCCGCGCGCTCAGGTGATTTCTATGCGTTACCTTCAGTTCCTGCATGGTGAGCTCGGTGCCGTTTTCCTTGGCGCTCCCCATCAGGACGTCGAGTGCGTCGCTGTAATCCTTCCCCTGGGAACACAACGGCTTCTCTCTGATGGCCTTTTCTATGCTTTTCTGCAGGGCGTCTCGTGCACGGATACCCTGTGAGGAAAGACATGTTATCATTAGCTACCAACCTTTATACAGACATAGATTGATTTAAACACATCTCATGCTTTGTATGTACCCACAACACATCAACTAGTGTGCTTTTGTGGTTGAGGTTGTCAACACATACCTTCCTGTATCCGCTGAAGGGCAGGTCTATAGGCAGGCTGAAGAGGTTGTCAACAAAGTCCTGGAAGGTGGAGAACAGATGCCTCATCTCCTCCTCCGACACCCTGAATCCCAGCAGCACCCTCACCGCCATCGTGAACGACAATCTCTGGCTCTCCCTGGAGGAAAAACAACACATTAGGACCTCAATCTTATCTATGGATAGACCCTGACTTGCATTTACTCTTGCACCCCATCCCCATCTCATTGTACCTGTATAATGACAATAAAGGATTGTATTCTATTCTATCTTGTGTACTGTTTCTTCACACGCTCTCTTCATGCGTTTCTTGTAGCAATGACCCTACCCCATGTTTAAGTGCAACAACAATGACATGTCTATCCCTTATGAATGTGTTTCTACTCTAGGACTGTCGGCGTACCTGTAGACGTTGATGGGCTCGGGGTTGGAGCTCCACACTCGAAGACTGTCCTGGATGACCTGCTGGATTTTGGGGAGGTAGGACTCCAAGGCCTCGTGGCTGAACACTTTGGCAAACACCTGCACAGACAGAGCAACAGACATATCCTTTCAGATATACAGAAACAGATCAAGATCAACAAGGAGTTTCATGAAATGATCATTAAGTTGTTCGACTTGGCACAAGCATAGAGACATTTGTTTGAACGAGTGCAAGCGGAGGACTTCAGTGTGGGAAATCATGACTGACGTATGAACAGATGGCAGAGGGCTGTAATATTTAAATTAACGCTTTCATCACTTCGATGTTTATTCAATATAACAGACTTGCCCATCATCATTTGACACGTGCGTTATTCAATGACAAACACCATTTGATGGCAAGTCACTTACTCAGCTTTCACTCGTGCTGAAATGTTGCACAGTTGATTCGTGGATAAAGGTACCCCCCTCTTTTTCCCTTCTGTCACATCTCTGACACATTTTCTAATCCGTTTCGCTCGCTCTCGAATTATACCCAGACAAGACTAGGTGTGTTCAATGGTATTCATTTCCTTATTCATCCCCCTCCTCTCTTTACAGAGACTTATACATTGTGGAGGTTTTCCCCTGTAGTCAGCAGAAGCAGAATGACAGGCAGAGAAGGAGGGGCGGGGGGAAGAGTTAAATCTTTCCTGGCTGCTCGGAGTATTTCTTTGTAGGAATCAGTCACCAGTCGTCAGTGTTGTTTGGACAAATAACATTCCTTCTGATGTACCCTCCAAAAACAGTCTTGAAAATGATTTAGAAGCGGAGAACATTGAGTAGACTGGACACGAGTCAGGTTATATTAACACAGTCATAATCCATTGAGTTATACTTGGCCGAAATGTCAGCTTTTAGTCATGAACACGAAGAATTTTAGCAATGACTTTTTGAGAAGGTTGAGCTATAGAGGACTGTTTTATTCCTCACGTTAAGTTACTATTCTAGGTTTTATTCAATCAGTGATCACAGGAAGGCAGTGCAGGACATTGTAGAGCAAGTTAAGCCACTGGAACACATGGTTTGTGTTATCTGCGCAGCGAAATGAAAATACTTTCGAGATAAATACTCTCTCTAACGATCAGTGGCTGGTGTATCAATTAACTTTTGCATTTACATTATGTTCGTCCGATAACTTTTAACTGTTTATTTAATGACCTCCCTCACATTGTCCAAACTCATAATTGCTTCCCGTCTGTGGTTTTCTCAATTTGTTTTATGGGTTCTTTTTTATGGCTTTTATGAAACATGCAGATAAACTATGAATTAACCTTTAGAAAAACCGGTACTATAACCCTAACCATGCAGAAGGAACACACTTTATTGTGTATCTGCAATATGTTTTCAATAAGGTAATCCATTGAAATGGCAAGACAAAGTGTTCTTGCTTGTGTTCAGAGACATAATGGAGTCTCAGAGGAAATAAAGAAGCTTCTAGAAGGATTTGAGCCCAACATGTGGTTCCTGAGGTCGATGTTTCAGCCACTAAACCATCACTTGGGCGCTCGTACTTTTATTTTGTCCTCTACCTCATTTTCCTCTTATTCCAAACTTCTCCTCTATTGCCCTTTTTACATCTCTCTCTCCCATCATTCCTTCAAACCCTGCTTCCCTCCCTCCGTCGCCCTCAGAATGAATGAACAATAGTCCACTGAGCTGGTGCTGTGTGTGTGTGTGTGTGTCAAAGTGTGTGTGTGTGTGTGAATGACATTGTATTGGGTGTATATATATGCTGTGTGTGTTAGGGAGTGGTTAGTGCAGATCACAGGGCGCTCTAAGACGTTAGCAGCACTACATTTCCTCTGCTGCCGCGCCCTGGGGCTGCTGGTCCCAGATCAGCTTACATGACCTGCTCTCCACCCCCGACCACATGGGATTACACACACTATCTGACCTCAAGGCTGCGGAAGAAAACACAAGGCTGTCCCTTCTTCGTTTGGGCTAAATAAATGCCAACATATGATCCATCGGGTCATCCATTGGATAAGAACTAGGGTTAGGGTTTTGGACACCACTGTTTTGGAATCGGATGAAACTTGGAGGAATGATGCATCCGTCTTTTAGTATTTAAAAAATGACATTGATTGTCCCATGACGCTAACTATGGTCACACAGTAATACCAAGTTTCACATTTGGTGGATTGGCTCCAAAAAGGACGTCTACTTGTGTCATATTTGTTTGTCACTTTGTTGGTTGCTTCGTCAACGAGTCATTGAACTGATTATCCATCAGTCACATCTTTCTATGGTTACGCGGTCAGTTTCGGTACGCTGTTTGAGATTTAGTGGGCTATGAAATCATTCATTTTTGGGGTTTCTTCACAGAAATGGCTGGTTAATCCGTCATTTCATATTTTAATTAGTGTCCGATCAATTGCCTGTTCACGTTAACGGGTTTGAAACCATGACTCAGCTATGTATGAGCCAGCTGTTTGTTGATCACTCGCCTGAGGGCTAGACGAACATAATACAGAAAGATCAGGGGAATATTGGTTAAGCCAAAAGAGAGGTTGTGTAACGTAGTGAATTTAGCCATTTAACCCGTCTGCACTGGATTATGCATAATTGGTCAATTTGAGCGAGTGCTTTGCCTATTCCTACACACACACACACACACACACACACACACACACACACACACACACATTCATAAATAGCCGCAGCGCTACTGTGAGTCAGTCAGTCGCCGTGTGTGTGTGCAGGGACGCCAAGACTGAAAGGTAACTACAGGTCAGACTAGCACACACACACTCTTTCACACACACACACACACACACACACACACACACACACACACACACACACACACGCATTATGGTAACTCTCTACATGTTTCTATATGCCGTGTCACTCTGGGACAGGATTGTTGGGTCATTTTGCTGCCCCACAAGAACGTGACATGTCTTCTGAAGCCTGTAGCGCAAATACACACACCCTGACTCTTACACACACACACACACACACACACACACACACACACACACACACACACACACACACACACACACACACACACACACACACACACACACACACACACACACACACACACACGGTCGTTCTAATAACGTCCATATGTCTTAAATTATGTGAAAGTGCTGCGAGCTGCTGGTTCCACAGACATGTAAAGACTCCTTTATTCTTCTCTCTCTCTCCTTCTCTCTTTACTCCCACCTCTTCCCGTCTCTCCCTGCCCCTTCATCCTTTTTTAAATACTTTTTATTCTTTCTCTAGTCAAACAAGCAGTCCATACGTCCGTCTCTATCATCACCTCGAATCGGAAAGGATTTGCTTTGTCTGCGAGTTTAAGATGAAAGGTAAAGTTAACGTTACTAAAAATGCACTAATTCACATTAATTCAGCGTACTATTGATCTAAAAGCATGTTAACAGAACCTTGTGTTCTTTAACATCCACAAACATTTATTTAATGCAGAAAAGTAACTTCAAGAGCTATTCATCATTGTATTACACTAATACGTTGACTTTGCATTCATCAAACATCATTACTTCTGTGTTTTCTCGCCAATATAGGACTATTACGTCCAAAATGAAAACAAAACATCCGCTGAACTGCAGCCGTTTTTGTTGCAAATGAAGTTTAAATGTTGCCGCATGTTCAACTCTACATATAATACTATATTTACACTCCACGACAATTCACTAGTCATGTATATTTTTGTATTTAAATGTGACTTTAGT